TAAAATTAATATTAATTTTTATATTTGTTTATATACATTTATAATAAAAAAATATTTAATATACTTTTAACTTATATCATGTAATACACGATGGAAAAATCCATTTCAAATTACATAAAATATCGTGGACATAAAAGGATTAAAAAAGGATGGGGTACAATGGACGGGTGGCCAAAAAAACAGATTAGAAAAGGCCCAAGCGTTATGACCGTTTGCAATTAAATGGTGAACAAACAATGCCATTAACCTAAATTGGACGGAGGGATGACATTGAAATGGTTTTGAATTGCAGGGGGAGGACAGGTGAAGTTTATTAATAGTAGAAGGAGGATATGAGGTAAATCAATAGTAGAAGGTTTAAATGGTAATAATTTTTATAGTAGAGGGATAATAGTTGGCATTAACCCAAATTTCTTCCAACAAATTCCTCGTACATAACACCCTTTTCTTTCTTTTTGAGAAAGAGAATAAAAAAGAAAAAATCAAAAGCCTTGACAAAGCTAAAAGCAAGAAAAACTCACAAAAAATTAACCAAATTAATCAAGGCCAGAAAATTCACCAGAATCAGCAGAACCAAGCTGCAGCATCCCTGCTTTGGAGCCATGGAACTGAGTGGGATGTCCTTCTTCTTCTTTGGAAGAACCATAGAACCATTCCCGTCGACTACTACTTCTGCCCCTACCATGATCTTACGCCTCTTACTCCTCAAAAACATGACCTTGAACCTCACGGCCGTCACCAAATCTATCCGGAAAACCCCCGTCGCGTCAGGGAAAACACCCTGGGAAGCCACCGTCATGTTATAGTCCACATGACCCGGTTTCTTAGCCGTCTTTTCATACCCCTGGCAAAAGCGCTGGATCGTAGTGTCCTCCAGGAGGTGGGAGTGTGGGACGACTGGGACCCGTTTCCCACGGCTTCGAACACGGTGACATTGACCTTCACGTTGTTGTAGTTAATACCCTTGCCATTGTTGGGGTTTTCCAGCTTCAGATTGAAGTACAACGTGGAATTGGTGGTGGAGTTCAGGGTTCTGTTGAGCGCCGGCAGGTAGACGTAGTCGACGGAGCATATGGGGTTGTCAGCTCCGAGGCCCAGCCAAATGGAGAGAGCGCTTGCGCCTAAGATGATGATGAGGCAGCAGCAGCCCTTGCAGCACTTGCAACACGCTCGCTTGTTAACCATACTGTTTCCCGATCGACGAGTATCAACTTGGGTTCTGTTCTCCGGTGAGGTTCTTAGTAATGGAGATGAATATAGAGACCATTTCATTTGTGCTTTGGTGCATTTTAAAAGGACTTATTGCCATTTTTTTATTTTGGATGGAGACATGATAAGTTTACTTGGATTTTTCACTTTGTTTTTTTTTTTTTTATAACAATTTTACAATAAGTCAAATTCGAATCATTGTCCTAAAAAAAAAAAAAGAGGAGAATACACTTAAATCTGATTTCACGTCACTGACCCAAAAAACCGGGTGTGGATTTTTCACTTTGTTGATCACAACGTATAATGAAGATTTGATGGTGAGATTAGGTGATCGTGCTCTTGCTGTGACTTTAGTATAGCCTTTTCAATTATGGTTACGGGATCAAAGAATTTAACGAATAAAGGGGATGTCCAGAGGAACGATCCTCCAAAGTGTTTGAATTAAATTGATAAAAAATTTAATTTATATCAATTATTTAAAAATTTTTTATTCCCCATCATTCCTCGTGTAAAAGAAAACAAAAGCCCGTCACATGTTATTTTTATAAGTCTTTTTGTATTTTTTAGCATTTATTAATATTTTTTTATTTGAATTTTAAGATTAAATTATTTAAATTATCAAATTTAAGGACTTATTTATTTCAATAAAAATTTATAAACTTTCTCATGAATTTAAAATAAGTTTAGGGACTTTATGTATGGTTTTGTCAAAAATAAACTAGTAGAACAAACGATAAAAAGGGAGAAAATGTAAATGATAGTTTGGTGGACTCAGATTTTAGGTATGTTTAGGATAAATTTAAAATTTTCAATTAAAAATAAAATAAAATAAGTTTTTTTTCCTCCCATCTCTTTTAAATTTTTTTGATAACTAAGACTTGGTTTTTGAGTGTTAGGCTGGTAAGTTTTTAAATTTTTTAATATTTCAAAATATATAAAATATATTTAATATTTTAAATA